TGTTCTGGATTGTGGTTGGTTGGTCTGGATTGTGGTTGGTTGGTCTGGATTGTGGTTGGTTGTTCTGGATTGTGGTTGGTTGGTCTGGATTGTGGTTTGTTGTTCTGGATTGTGGTTGGTTGGTATTCCGTAGACTTGTACGCAAGGGTTCTGGATTGTGGTTTGTTGTTCTGGATTGTGGTTGGTTGGTATTCCGTAGACTTGTACGCAAGGGTTCTGGATTGTGGTTGGTTGGTCTGGGTTGTGGTTGGTTGGTTTGGATTGTGGTTGGTTGTTCTGGATTGTGGTTGGTTGTTCTGGATTGTGGTTGGTTGGTATTCCGTGGACTTGTACGCAAGGGTTCTGGATTGTGGTTGGTTGGTCTGGATTGTGGTTGGTTGGTTTGGATTGTGGTTGGTTGTTCTGGATTGTGATTTGTTGTTCTGGATTGTTGTTGGTTGTTCTGGATTGTGGTTGGTTGTTCTGGAATGTGGTTGGTTGGTATTCCGTGGACTTGTACGCAAGGGTTCTGGATTGTGGTTGGTTTGTATTTCGTGGACTTGTACGCAAGGGTTCTGGTTTGTGTTTGGTTGGTATTCCGTGGACTTGTGCGCAAGGGTTCTGGATTGTGGTTGGATGGTATTCCGTGGACTTGTACGCAAGGGTTCTGGATTGTGGTTGTTGGTATTCCGTGGACTTGTACGCAAGCGTTTGTGATAGTGAAATAATAAATGGATGTATATTAATTAGAGAGGAAATATGTTGATCCTTTGTGTTTGTCTTTAATTTATTTCCTTCTTTAAATATCATTTATTTTGATGGACGATCATGGCCGATCTTTATGTATGCCATCATTTGTCATGCGGTAATGAAATAATATAACAGTTATTTTGATTTGATAATGCCTGCCTCGAAATCCATAGGACCTCCAACAAAGGTTCTTGCGACTTTGCTTACAATGCATCAGTGTTGTTGTATACGTAGTTATTTATGTATTGAGATATCAGATCACTGTTTACCGGGAAAATTTGCTGCAGTTTAATTTTCACAATAAGGGCAAATTCGTTGCGACAGTGAATAATAAGTACACAGTTTACCCTATATCATAATTACATGTGAAGGGCTAAATTTACACTTGGCGAACATGGATTTTACCAGTGTAGGGCAAACATTTCCCAGTTTATATTATTAATTCCTTTTGGAAGTTAATATTCACACCATTGAATACAAAATAACTTATCACCACTCTGGTATGAACACATTCACAGATCCTGATAAAAATGTCCCTGGGAATGATCTCTAATACCACACAATCTATATATATATCTCCTTACAAGATATAACTTTGGCAGCATGCCTCTTATTTTTTCAAGGAGATCAGCTAAAACATGCTTAATGGGTTTGTATTAGGAACAATATTGAACAAAAATTAGATTCTCATGTTTGACTTTTGACCTTTGACCTTGATATGACCTTGGCAGTAGCGTCAAACAAAAATGTATAACTTTTGAAAGTATGGCCAATGCATACTCAACATACAATAACTACCATCTATTAATGGGAAGAATGACTATAACATAAGTTACACCCATTTCTGCACCCCTACCCCCAGAATCTGTAATTCCATTCTATATAACAGTATACATAACAAAGTGGCCACCATTTTATTTGATCAATTTCTGTTTTTTCTTTTGAAAGGACAATACACAATAAAGAGTGGTTTGGGGAAAAAACGATACTTTTTCTGTTATTTGACCTTTGACCTTGATTTTACCTTTGGGTGGCGGTCAAACTGTAAACTTTATATACCAAAATTTTAAGTGATGCATACATGATCTATATATACCATCTAAGTATGCATGTGATGATGATGAGAAATGATATAGCACTTTCTGGACCCCTACCCCCCTTTATTCAAAATCACATTTTTTTTTGCCAAGGTAAGGTTATATATGACCCCACAAAAATCCCCAGTGGATTTCCCAGAGGGGTGGCCAGCTGAAATATGTTCTAGAAGGTCCATACTTATGAAAAAATGAGGCCACCCTTTGACAGCAGGGGGGTGCTCACTTAACCCCTCTGGCCCCGGGGCCCCAGGGGCTAAGGGCCCTTTTTGAAGGTAAGTGAACACCCCCTTGCTCTATACAGCTTACTTCAACTCAAATTGAAGCTTAAGGTTACAAAAACAAACTAAATCGCCGTGGCTTGTCTATACTATTATCTCACGATATTAAGAACATAGGTTTATTGCATCAGCTGTACCATACACATACTGTAGGTTAGTATGATGTAGTGTTACTTGTTTTAAAGACATACCCATTTCGAGTTTTTTTTCTTCAGATTTAATCAAGATAAAGACTGTTTATTGCGGCATATTTTGTATAATCATCATGACTGGAGCCACCCCTAGTCACGGTGAGTATGCTAAGTGTCACCCTTAGTCACGGTGAGTGTGATAAGTGTCACCCTTAGTCACGGTGAGTGTGATAAGTGTCACCCCTAGTCACGGTGAGTGTGATAAGTGTCATCCCTAGTCACGATGAGTATAATAAACGAGTGAGTGTGGTAAGTGTCACCCTAGTCATGGTGAGTGTGACAAGTGTCACCCGTGTCATGGTTAGTTATAGTCAAGGTGAGGATGATAAATCACCCCTAGTCAAGGTGAGTATGATAAATGTCACCCCTAGTCACGGTGAGTGTGATAAGTGTCATCCTAGTAACGGTGAGTGTGATAAATGTCATTCCTAGTCACGGGAAGTGTGATATGGTTCAACCCTAGTCATGGTTAGTTAGTGTAATAAGTGTCACCCCTAATAATGGTGAGTGTGATATGGGTCAACCCTAGTCATGGTTAGTTAGTGTGATAAATGTCACCCCTAGTCATGATTAGTTAGTGTGATAAATGTCACCCATAGTCATGGTTAGTTAGTGTGATATGTGTCACCCCTAGTAACGGTGAGTGTGATATGGGTCACCCCTAGTCACGGTGAGTGTGATATGGGTCAACCCTTGTCATGTTGAGTGTGATATGGGTCACCCCTAGTCATGGTGAGTGTGATATGGGTCAACCCTTGTCATGGTTAGTTAGTGTGATAAGTGTCACCCCTAGTAACGGTGAGTGTGATATGGGTCACCCATTGTCATGTTGAGTGTGATATGGGTCACCCCTAGTCATGGTGAGTGTGATATGGGTCAACCCTAGTCATGATTAGTTAGTGTGATAAGTGTCACCCCTAGTCACGGTGAGTGTGATAAGTGTCACCCCTAGTCATGTTGAGTGTGATATGGGTCACCCCTGGTCATGGTGAGTGTGATATGGGTCAACCCTTGTCATGGTGAGTGTGATATGGGTCAACCCTTGTCATGGTTAGTTAGTGTGATAAGTGTCACCCCTAGTCATGGTGAGTGTGATTAGAGTCACCCCTAGTCACGGTGAGTGTGATATGGGTCAACCCTTGTCATGGTTAGTTAGTGTGATAAATGTAATCCCTAGTCATGGTTAGTTAGTGTGATAAGTGTCACCCCTAGTCATGGTGAGTGTGATTAGAGTCAACCCTAGTCACGGTGAGTGTGTTATGGGTCAACCCTTATCATGGTGAGTGTGATAAGTGTCATTATAGTCACGGTGAGTGTGATATGGGTCAACCCTAGTCATGGTTAGTAAGTGTGATAACCGTCACTCCTAGTCATGGTGAGTGTGTTTAGAGTCACCCCGAGTTATGATGATTGAGATATGTGTCACCCCCTAGTCACGGTGAGTGTGATAAGTTTCACCCCTAGTCATGGTGAATGTGATAAGTGTCACCACTAGTTATGATCAGTGAGATATGTGTCACCCCTAGTCACGGTTAGTGAGATAAGTGTCAACCCTAATCACGGTGTGTGTGATAGGTGTCACCCCTAGTCACGGTGAGTGTAATAAGTGTCACCCCTAGTCATGGGTAGTGTGGTAAATGTTACCCTTAGTCAGGCTGAGTGTAATATGTGTACCCTTAGTCCTGGTTAGTTAAAGTGATAAGTATCACTACTAAGCACGATGAGTGTGATAAATGCCATCCCTAATCACGGTGATTGTGTAAAGTGTCACCCCTAGTCATGGTGAGTGTGATAAGTGTCACCCCTTGTCACAGTGAGTGAGATAAATTACTCACCTAATAATGGTGATTTTGATAAATGTCACTATAGTCACGGTGAATGTGATAGGTGTCACCCCTAGTCATTGTGAGTGTGATAGGTGTCACCCATAGTCACGACGAGTGTCATATGTGTACCCCGTAGTCCTGGTGAGTGTGATAAGTGTCACCCCTCGTCACAGTGTGTGTGATATGGGTCAACTCTAGTCACGGTGAGTGTTATAAGTGTTACCCCTAGTCATGATGAGTGTGATGAGTGTCACCCATAGTCATGGTGTGTGTGATAAGTGTCACCCCTAGTCATGGTTAGTTAGTGTGATAAGTGATACCCCTAGTCACGGTGAGTGTTATAAGTGTCACCCCTAGTCACGGTGTGTGTGATAAGTGTCACCCCTTGTCACAGAGTGTGTGATAAGTGTCACCCCTAGTACCGGTGAGTGTTATAAATGTCACCCCTAGTCATGATGAGTGTGATGAGTGTCACCCCTAGTCATGGTGTGTGTGATAAGTGTCACCCCTAGTCGTGATGTGTGTGATAGGTGTCACCCCTAGTCATGATGTGTGTGATATGGGTCACCCCTATTCATGGTTAGTTAGTGGGATAAGTTTCACCCCTTGTCACAGTGAGTGTGATATTGGTCAACCCTAGTCACGGAGAGTGTTATAAGTGTTACCCCTAGTCACGGTATGTGTGATAAGTGTCACCCCTTGTCACAGTGTGTGCGATAAGTGTCACCCCTAGTACCGGTGAGTGTTATAAGTGTCACCCCTAGTCATGATGAGTGTGATAAGTGTCACCCCTAGTCACGGTAAGTGTGATAAACTGTAAGTGCCACCCCCTAGTCACGGTGAGTGTGATAAGTTTCACCCCTTGTCACAGTGAGTGTGATATTGGTCAACCCTAGTCACGGTGAGTGTTATAAGTGTTACCCCTAGTCACGGTGAGTGTGATAAGTGTCACCACTAGTTATGATCAGTGAGATAAGTGTCACCCCTAGTCACGGTTAGTGAGATGAGTGGCAACACTAATCACGGTGTGTGTAATAAATGTCACCCCTAGTCATGGTTAGTGTGATAAATGTTACCCTGAGTCAGGTTGAGGGTAATATGTGTCCCCTTAGTCCTGGTTAGTTAAAGTGATAAGTATCACTACTAGTCACGATGAGTGTGATAAATGTCACCCCTAGTCACGATGAGTGTGATAAATGCCATTCCTAATCACGGTGATTGTGTAAAGTGTCACCCCTAGTCATGGTGGGTGTGATAAGTGTCACCCCTTGTCACAGTGAGTGAGATAAGTTACTCACCTAATAATGTTGATTTTGATAAATATCACTCTAGTCACGGTAAATGTGATAGGTGTCACCCCTAGTCATTGTGAGTGTGATACGTGTCACTCCTATTCATTGTGAGTGTGATAGGTGTCACCCATAGTCACGATGAGAGTCATATGTGTTCCCCGTAGTCATGGTTAGTTAGTGTGATAAGTGTCACCCCTAGTAACGGTGAGTGTAATAAGTGTCACCCCTTGTCACAGTGAGGGTGATATTGGTCAAACCTAGTCACGGTGAGTGTGATATGGGTCACCCCTAGTCATGGTGAGTGTGATATGGGTTAACTCTAGTCACGGTGAGTGTGATAAGGGTCACCCATTGTCACAGTGAGTGTGATATTGGTCAAACCTAGTCACGGTGAGTGTGATATGGGTCACCCCTAGTCATGGTGAGTGTGATATGGGTCAACCTTTGTCATGGTTAGCTAGTGTGATAAGTGCCACCCCTAATCATGGTGAGTATGATAAATGACCCATACTCATGGTGAGTGTGATAAGTTTCATCCCTTGTCACGGTGAGTGTGATATGGGTCAACCCTAGTCATGGTTAGTTAGTGTGATAAGTGTCACCCCTAGTCATGGTGAGTGTGATATGGGTTAACTCTAGTCACGGTGAGTGTGATAAGGGTCACCCATTGTCACAGTGAGTGTGATATTGGTCAAACCTAGTCATGGTTAGTAAGTATGATAAGTGTCACCCCTAGTCATGGTGAGTGTGATAAGTGTCACTGCTAGTCACGTTGATTGTGATAAATCTCACCACTAGTCCCGGTGAGTGTGATAAATGTCATCCCTAGTTATGATGAGCGATATATGAATCACCCCTAGTCATGGTGAGTGTGATAAGTGTCACTGCTAGTCACGTTGATTGTGATAAATATCACCACTAGTCACGGTGAGTGTGATAAATGTCATCCCTAGTTATGATGAGCGATATATGAATCACCCCTAGTCACGGTGAGTGTGATAAGTGTCACCCCTAGTCACGGTGAGTGTGATAAGGGTCACCCATTGTCACAGTGAGTGTGATATTGGTCAAACCTAGTCATGGTTAGTAAGTATGATAAGTGTCACCCCTAGTCATGGTGAGTGTGATAAGTGTCACTGCTAGTCACGTTGATTGTGATAAATTTCACCCCTAGTCACGGTGAGTGTGATATGGGTCAACCCTAGTCATGGTTAGTTAGTGTGATAAGGGTCACCCATAGCCTTGGTTAGTTAGTGTGATAAGTGTCATCCCCCTATTCATGGTTAGTTAGTGTGATAAGTGTCACCCCTAGTCACGGTTAGTGTGATAAACTGTAAATGCCACCCCTAGTCACGGTGAGTGTGATAAGTGTCACCCCTAGTCACGGTTAGTGTGATATGGGTTAACTCTAGTCACGGTGAGTGTGATAAGTTTCACCCCTTGTCACAGTGAGTGTGATATTGGTCAACCCTAGGCATGGTTAGTTAGTGAGATAAGTGTCACCCCTAATTATGATGAGTGTGATATGAATCACCTCTAGTCACGGTGAGTGTGATAAGTTTCACCCCTTGTCACAGTGAGTGTGATATTGGTCAAACCTAGGCATGGTTAGTTAGTGTGATAAGGGTCACCCCTAGTCATGGTTAGTTAGGGGGATAAGTGTCACCCCTAGTCATGGTGAGTGTGATTAGTGTCACCCCTTGTCACAGTGAGTGTGATATTGGTCAAACCTAGGCATGGTTAGTTAGTGTGATAAGGGTCACCCATAGCCTTGGTTAGTTATTGTGATAAGTGTCATCCCCCTATTCATGGTTAGTTAGTGTGATAAGTGTCATCCCCCTATTCATGGTTAGTTAGTGTGATAAGTGTCACCCCTAATTATGATGAGTGTGATATGAATCACCCCTAGTCACGGTGAGTGTGATACATCACCCCTCGTCATTGTGAGTGTGATAAGTGTCACCCCTTCTCATGGTTAGCT